TTATGGTGTGGTTATCCAAGTCTCTTTGTAGGTCTCTAAGAACTCGTTTTATGAATCTGTGTGCCCCAATGCTAATTGCATATATATTTTGGATAGTTGTCTTCTTGTTTAATTGAACCCTTTATCATTGTGTAATGTCTTTCTTTGCCCTTTTTTATCATTGATGATTTAATGTCTGTTTTCTCTGAAATAAAAATAGCAGCCCCTGTTATTTTTTGTTTTCCATTTGCTTGATGTTTCACCGTTCCTTTTCTTTGAGCCTATGGGATGAGCACATTCATCATCATTGCATGTGAGATGGGACTCTTGAAAAAACAGCATGCAATTGGGTTATGCGTCTTTATATAACTTGCCACTATATGTCATTTAAGTGGGGCATTTAGTCTGTATATGTTCAAGGTCAATATTGATATGTGAGAATTTAATCCTGTCATCATGTGGGTAGCTAGTTGTTATGTGCACGTGATTGTATAGTTGCTTTACAGTGTCATTGGGCTATGAACTTAAGTGTGTTTTTGTGGTGGCAAGTACTGGTTTTTCATTTCCATGTTTACACTCCTTTAAGAACCTCTTGTAAGGCAGGTCTGATGGTAAGAAATTCCCTTAGCGTTTACTTGTCTGAAAAGGATTTAATTTCTCCTTTGCTTATAAAACTTAGTTTAGCTAGATATGAAATTCTTGGTTGGATTTTTTTTTTTTTTTTCTTCAAGGATGTTGAATATAGTTCCCTAGTCTCTTCTGGCTTATAAGGTTTCTGCTAAAAAGTCCACTGTTAACCTGATGGGCTTCCCTTTGTAGGTGACCTGCTCCTTCTCTCTAGCTGTCTTTATGAGTTTTTCTTTCATGTGGACGTTGGAGAATGTCATGACTATGTGTCTTGAGGATGGTTGTTTTGTATACTATTTTGTAGGGGTTCTCTGCATTTCCTAAGTTTGCAAGTTGTATGTGTGCATGCTGGCGAGGCAGTGGGCAGAGGCTATAAGTGAGTGTGCACCTGTTGGGGTACATCTGCAAAAGTGCTCCCATGGGAAGGTGGGGGCTGCTAGCAAGCATTTCATCGGGACAGCTGAGGCTGTGCTGCAAATGGGTGTGGCCAGGCAGGGACCCTGGGAGAGGATGGCAGACAGGGATGTTCAGATCAGACAGGCCTCACTCTATGCAAAAGACAGCCCCGCCCTCTCCATGTCTGGCTGCTAATAAATGCTAAGGCCACCTAGAGGAGTATGGTGAGCCTTGGGGAATGGATACCCATGGCTTTGCTCCACTGCAGCTGTTCCCATGCTAAACCCTCTGCTCTCCACAGACTAGCATTCTGTCTCTGGCAACTCTCCAGGTAGTTCTCCCTGCCAATTCAAATGTCTTGAAGGGGTCTTGGGGTCCCCTGCAGCTAGATCTTTAAGGTCTGTGACAAGAGTGGGCCACTCCACACCTGTTTCACTCACCCTTTCCCTAGGAGCCACTAAGTGCCAGGAGTGAGTCCTGGTGCTTGGCAACTCCATGCAGAGTTCCCAGTTTCCTCCTTTTTCAGACTTAAGGTCTGCATCCTCCCCGTATCCACTCTGAATATCTTCTTTCTGAATATCTGTTCAGCATGTGCCAGTCTACTTGATGGTGGTCTCTCTTGGGAGAAGGTCTCCTGGCTGTGCCTAGTCAGCCATCTTGGCTACTCTACTTTTTAAAAAGTGTCTTAAGGACATAAAAAGTTACTACATATTTATTTTTATTTTGAGACAGTCTCGCTGTGTCACTAAGGCTAGAGTGTGGAGGTGCGATCTAAGCTCACTGGAACCTCTGCCTCCTGGGTTCAAGTGAACCTCCCACCTCAGCCTCCTTAGTACCTAGAATTATAGGCATGTGTCATGATGCCCAGCAGAGTTTTGTATTTTTAGAAGAGATAGGGTTTTACCATATTGGCCAGGCTGGTGTTGAACTCCTGACCTTAAGTGATCTGCCTGCCCTAAAGTCTGGAATTACAGGCATGATCCATCACAACTAGCTGATATTTGTTAAACTAAAAATAACTTTTTTTTTTTTTTTTTTGAGACGGAGTCTCACTCTGTCACCCAGGCTGGAGGGCAGTGGCGCGATCTCAGCCCACTGCAACCTCCACCTCCTGGTTCAAGCGATTCTCCTGCCTCAGCCTCCTGAGTAGCTGGGATTACAGACATGTGCCACCACACCTGGCTAATTTCTGAATTTTTAGTAGAGACGAGGTTTCACCATGTTGGTCAGGCTGGTCTCAAACTCCTGACCTCGTGATTTGCCCACCTTGGCCTCCCAAAGTGCTGGTATTACAAGTGTGAGCCACTGCGCCCAGCCAAAAATAACATTTTAAGTTCCTAGGCCTCTGTAAGGCCTGCACAAGCTTGATGAGGCCTTTATAGCGACAGTAGGGGAGGGTGAGGGATCAAATGATCACTGGTTTCTTTCACACTTCAACAAGCTTTTGTTTTGTTTTTTGAGATAGACTCTCACTCTGTCACCCATGCTGGAGTGCAGTGGCATGATCAAGGCTCATTGTAGTCTCGACCTTCTGGACTCAGGCAATCCTCCTGCCTCAGCCTCCCTAGTAGCTGGGACTACAGGCATGTGTCACTATGCCTGGCTAATTTTTGTGTTTTTGGTAGAGGCCAGGTTTCGCCATGTTAGCCAGACTAGCCTCAAATTCCTTGCCTAAAGTGATCTGCCTACCTCGGTCCCCCAGATGCCGGGATTGCAGACATGAGCCACTGAGCCTGGCCTCAACAAGCCTTTATGCCAATTTCTAGCATTCGCTTTGTCCACTTCTTAAGTGAGCTAAGCTATGGAGTTCTGCAGTCTATTCCATTAGCAATTTCTAAATACACAGTAAATTATGATTAAATATGGTTATGCTGTGCAGCAGATCTCTAAATTTTATTCCTCCTGTCTAACTGAAACTTTGCACCATTTGACCAACATTTCCCCATTCCCTCCTGCCACTCAACTGCAGCCTCTGGTAACTGCCTGTCTACTCTCTACCTATGTGGGTTGGACTTTTTTAGATTCCACATATAAGTGAGATCATATAGTGTAGGTTGAGTATCCATCGTTCAAAATGCTTAGGACTAGAAGTGTTTCCAATTTTGGATTTTTTTGGATTTTGGAATCTTTGCATATACTTAATGAGATATCTTAGGAATGGGGCCCAAGTCTAACACAGAATTTATGTTTCAGATTATGTGCATAACCTGAAGGTAATTTTATACAATATTTTAAATAACTTTGTGCATGAAACAAAGTTTGTGTACACTGAACCATCAGAAAGTAAGTGTCAGGTGTGGAATTTTCCACCTGTGGCTCTCACAAAGTTTTGGATTTTGAAACATTTCAAATTTTGGAATTTCAGATTAGATTAGAGATGTTCAACCTATATTTGCCTTTTTGGACCTGGCTTATTTCACTTAATATAATGTCTTCCACTTAATATAATGTTAATCCACAGTCTTGCAAATGACAGAATGATAGAATTTTCTTCTCTTTTAAAGCTAAATAATACTCCATTTGTATATGTGTGCTACTTTTTTAAAAAATCCATTCATCCATTAATAGGCATTTATGTTGTTTCCTAAGGCATGGCTATTGTGACTAATGCCTCAGTGAACGTGGCAGTACAAATATCTCTTCGACACACTGATTGCAGTTCCTTTGGATATACATCCAGAAGTGGGATTGCTAGATCATAGTTCAATTTTCAGTTTTTGAGGGACCTCGGCTATAGCTTTATTTTCTTAAAACAAGCAAAAAAAATCACTTTAAAATTAGTTGATGGGCATGATTTTATAATTTGTGAGACTGCAGGCCATAGCCCTTGAAAAAAAGATTAACTGAAAAATACAGAAACATTTTTTTTTTTATCCTGGAAAATGATCCATATGTTTCTATAAAAATATAACTTAACTGGCCCTTACAGGTTTTTCTTTGTCTTATATCGCTCTTCCATTTGCTATATATATATTTTTTAAGGAATTGGGTCTTCAAATAATCACTCTTTAAAATTTCTGCTTAATTCTCTTTTAATCTGCTTTATGCTTATTCAAAGCCAATTTAGAAGCTTTTTCATCCTCTATTTACTGGAACAAAGTTACATTCTGAAGTGGGAGTATTTTGGAAATGAGTTGAAGTTTAAGGGCGTAGATATCATTGACATTTTAGTTGGATGGGATTATAGGACTGACTTTTAAAATGGTTTTATCTATATTTACCACAAGGTGGTACCAGATACTCACTTGTTATCAGGAACTGAAACACTCCTGTAAGAACATTTCCATTATACTATTATTATTATTATTATTTTGAGACAGTCTTGCTCTGTCCCCTAGGCTGGAGTGCATTGGTGCGATCTCGACTCACAGCAACCTCCGCCTCCTGGGTTCCAGCAATTCTTCTGCCTCAACCTCCCAAGTAGCTGGGATTACAAGCACCCACTACCACGCCCAGCTGACTTTCATATTTTTAGTAGAGATGGGGTTTCACCATGATGGCCAGGCTGGTCTTGAACTCCTGACCTCAGTTGATCCACCCACCTTGGCTTCCCAAAGGGCTGGGATTATAGGCGTGAGCCACAATGCCCAGCCTCATTAGCTCCTTAAATTAGACAACATTTAAAGCCCCTTGAAGAAAGGTATGCTAATACATTCATAGTATTTTTTTGTGCTTGTGAAGGCTCATGTGTAAAATGCTTAATTATAAGTAGGTGCCTAACTTAAGGTTCCTTTTTATTTTTTAATTTGTTTCTGTGTATTTTTAAAAATTTCTTTTCTGTTCCTTTTTGAAAAATCATTTATTATGATAGCTTTATGCTTATTTCTACTTTGTTTTCATACAGGTTCTTCATTATTTCTGCTCTTTCATTATAGGTCATTTCTGTATCTGATTTCATTTGCTTATGTATAAAAGTTTTTATGTTTCTTCAAATTACTGTCATCTTGACTTGGGAAGACCTATTTTATTGTGTCTTTTTTCCTTTATAATCTTTGGAGATGAAGAAATACTTGAACAAGCAGACTACCTGTATGAAAGTGGAGAAACAGAAAAACTTTATCAGTTGCTAGCCCAGTACAAGGAAAGGTAAGCAATGTATGATAGGCCTTGGCTTGTGGTTTCCTCTAAATTTTTGTTATTTAACAATTAAAATGACCCTTGGTGCTTGAGGTTTTAAAAATAGTTTATTGTAGTTTTTACTTCAAAATATTTCTTAGAGTTTATAATATACTATTTGTTTCTTATATTAAATGTTGCATGTATCTCACTGATTTAGAAAAGATGGTTCTGCTTAGTCTGGCAGAATGCTGAAATTTCTATTTTTTATTTTTCCATTTTGCTTTAGATCATACAGGATAGTTATTGAATATATGTTTACTCTTTCCAGCTATATTGTATATTTCTCATTCCTTTTAAAGCAATTTTTTATTGGTATAGATTAAATGAATTCACTGAGATTTAGGATAATTGTATGCCACCATTGAATGGTAACTGTGTATCACTTCGTATATTTCTCATTCCTTTTAAAGCAACTTTTTATTGGTATAGATTAAATGAATTCACTGAGATTTAGGGTAATTGTATGCCACCATTGAATGGTAACTGTATATCACTTCAGAAGCATAGTCTTTCAGAGAAACCAAAAATACCCGTTTTTCTATTGTTTGTATTAGATTGTATGTTTAGTGTAGAATATGAGCGCGCACTCATTTTTGGGAGGAGTGTGGAGTGAGAGAAAGACTCAACCCTAGAAAGTAAGTCATATGGCCAAATAGCATTTCCAGATCACTAATCTACCTCATCTGCTAAACTAAAACTATTGAGTCATTTTCATCTGCCTTTTTTAGATTTTCGAAACAGTTCTCACCCCAGGACTCATCAGTTTCACTTTCTAGATATCTACAGGATTGATCTTTTCTTATCCATTCTCCCCTCAGTAATTCAAGGTGGCTGGTTTGGCATTTTATTGTCATTTCAGTGATAACTTGAAAAATAAACTATGAGATAGCTACTCCATATTCATTAAATAATAACTATCTTAATTAACCTTTAGCTTCAAATTTTCATTTTTTGTTAAAAGGCAAACATTTAATAAAAAGGTATTTAATTTTTATAATTATTTCTGTCAGTTGTGGTGGTTAATACTTTATTAACCATTTCTTATGTAATTATATGGAAATGGCAGTTCTTCAAAGCATCCAATGCTCGTACTTGAAATAACCCATGCATCATGGGTATTCAAACATAGGATTTATTTTGAGATTACATTATATTCAGCCATTCATTCATTAGCAAATACTTGTCATATACCTATTGGGTGTCAGAAACTGTATTTGGGACTAGGGATTCAGCAGTTTTGTATTTTTACAGCATGACCCTGTCTATAAAATTTATGTATTTTATGATACTGTATGAACTACTCAGTGAGCTATTTGAAACACAGTGCCAGTAAGGCCAAGCCTCAGGTTAGTATGTTGAGTTTTATAGGGCAAGTGTTTAAAGAATTCGAATACAAAGATATTTTTGAAGGAAGTCAGTAGTTTAGGTACTAGAAGTAAGTTAATACTTATGAATATTAGATATTTTTTATAGGAAATTTTAGCAAGTTTTATATGAAAGAAAATATTAATTTAGGATTATTAATAATGGCTTTTGATGCCATGTTGCTAGCTTCCTAAGCTGAAAGACCATAATGGATTTATTAGTAATGTAACCCTTAACAATTTTTAAATATGAGCTAAAATGGTGGTTTTATATTTTATTTCAAATTAGTGAAGACGCAGAGTTACTGTGGCGTTTGGCACGGGCATCACGTGATGTAGCTCAGCTTAGCAGAACTTCAGAAGAGGAGAAAAAGCTATTGGTGTATGAAGCCCTAGAGTATGCAAAAAGAGCACTAGAAAAAAATGAATCAAATTTTGCAGCTCATAAGGTGAGTTGCTTAACTAGGCTATTACCATTATTTTACATTATTTTATACTTTTCTATTATCCCTAATTTACATAGGAAGAACAATTTCTCTATCTTAAGGTTTTCTTTTTAATTCAGTCTTATATCTTAAGGATACTTTCTCTATTTTAAAGAAGTAGGAAATATATTTATTTTTATAAGTTTTTCAAAGAAAAGTCTGTTTTCTTAAACCTTTGGTTTAACTTCATTTGTATTTGATAAATTACTTTTGTGAATGCTTATTTTTAAACAGAAGTTTAGCAATTTCACGAATTACCTAGATCTACATTCTTAGTAGTATAAGTGCTTCACAAATACTTTCTCATTTTCCTCATGTTATATTTGTTTTATTTAGAGGTAGGAATATAGCAGCTGGGCCACTGAGGCCTAGAATGACTTCACATGTAACTCTGCTGCTTTCAGGATTTCTTGTTGGTTCAGAACGCTTTTCAGTAAATTGTATGAGGAGACAAGGAGGTGGTGGTCATTAGCCTTCTGGATTAGGACATTTCTTTTTTTTTTTTTTTGTACAAAGTTTTTTTTTTTTTTTTTTGTACAGGCTGGAGTGCAGTGTTGCAATCTTAGCTCACTGTGGCCTCCATCTCTTGGGCTCAAGAGATCCTCCACCTCAGCCTCCTGAGTAGCTAGAACTACAGCATGTGGCACCACCCTCAGCTAATTTTTTGGATTTTTAGTAGAGATGAGGTCTTGCTATGTTTCTGGTGCTCAGGTCTTGAACTCTGGAGCTCAAGCAGTCCTCCTGCCTTGGCCTCCCAAATTGTTGGGATTACCTGGCCAAGGATTAGCACTTTTTTTTTTTTTAATCATGTTTATCCGTCTCCAGTAGAGCTCCAAGTCATATGACAACCAAATTCTATACCGGTATATTTCCAAATGCTCCTTTTAGGAGTTGGTACCCCCTCCCCAAAAAAATACTACTTATAAAGGATAAAACAGGTACACATTATTTTAAATGTTTACTGAGACTTGTTTTATGGCTCTGAAAATGGTTCATCTTTGTAATTGTGTATTCAGCTATTGTTAGGACTGTCTTATGCCATTCACGTCAAGTTGGTTGATAGTATTGTTTGAGTCTTCTAAATCCTTACTGATTTTCGTCTGCGTGTTCTATAAATTATTGAGAGAGGAGTAGTAAAATCCTCAATTATAATTGTAGATTTGTTTGTTTCTTTTTGCAGTTCTATTAGTTTTTACAGCATGTATTTTAAAGTGCTATTAAGAATGTAACATTTAGGATTATATTTTATTAGTTGACCTCTCAATCATTGTAAAATGATCTTCATTACCTCTACAAATATTCTTGGTTTTTTGTTTGTTTGTTTGAGACAGTCTTTCTCTGACACCCAGGCTGGAGTGCAGTGGTGCAATCTTTGCTCACTGCAACCTCTGCCTCTTGTGTTCAAGCTATTTCTCCTACTACAGCCTCTGGAGTAGCTGGGATTACAGGTGCACACCACCACGCCCAGCTAATTTTTGTATTTTTAGTAGAGATGGGGTTTCACCACGTTGGCCAGGCTGGTCTCGATCTTCTGACCTTGAGATTTGCTCGCCTTGGCCTCCCAAAGTGCTGGGATTACAGTGTGGCTAACCATTTAGTACATTTACAGTGTTGTATAACCAACACCTCTAATTGCAAAATATTGTCATCATCCCTAAGAGAATACCCTGTTTCTGTTAAGCAGTCACTTTCCACTCCCTCTTAGCTCAAACTCTGGCAAACATGAATCTCTTGTCTCTATGGCTTTATATATTCTAGGTATTTCATATGAGTGGAATCATAAGAAATTGTTGGACTTCATGGAACCCAAAGGCAGGGTGCAGTTGGGGCTTGGGAGAAAATTGGCTTGATTGCTTCAAGGCTTCATTATCTCTCCACTCTGCTGTTACCTGAGTATCTTTTTCATTGTAGACATTATTTTTTCTCCTTAGCCTAAATCTTGGAACTTTCCACAGTACCTGGGTTTATGAAGCGTGGCTATTTTAGATTCATTTCTTGGGGAAGAAACTCGGGTCGTCTCAGTTTGGGTCAGCTGTCCAACAGTGGCTGTGGAGACAAGGTCAAAGTTGACACTGTGGCAGTTCTTACTCTAACAATGCAATGTGGGAGGAGATGGGACTCCGAGAAAAGAAAATGAGAACATAAAACAGCAATCAATTACATATTCTTCTAAGCTGATACTCAGACCGTAAACATGAACCATTATCTCACTGTGTTGGTAACTTTCTTAGAAAATTGACCACTTTCTACCGTGTTATAGTTCTCTATAAACACATCCTGTCCCTGAGGGTTTTGTTTTTTTTTTATACTCACTCTGTCACTCAGGCTGGAATACAGTGGCATGATATCGGCTCAATGCAATCTCCACCTCCTGGATTCAAGCGATTCTCCTGCCTCAGCCTCCTGAGTAGCTGGGATTACAGGCCCGTGCCACCATGCCCAGCTAATTTTTGTATTTTTAGTAGAGATGAGGTTTCACCATGTTGGCCAGGTTCTTGAACTCCTGACCTCAGGTGATCCACCTGCCTCAGCCTCCCAAAGCGCTAGGATTACAGGTGTGAGCCATTGGGCCCAACCCTATCCCTGAGTTTCTAGAAGGCCATGTCTACTTTTCTTTATATATTCCATTATTAAATGTAAATAATATATATTTATTATATATTCCATTACATTTATAAATTACATTTAATACAGTTTTTATGCTCAGTAACTTTTTGCTGGATAAGAATGACTATTGAATAAATATTATACAGTTTTACCTTGTATTGAATGGAATATCAGGAATATTATTGTTCTTACTTTTTTTTCAGTGGTATGCAATCTGCCTTAGCGATGTTGGAGATTATGAAGGCATCAAGGTTAAAATTGCAAATGCGTACATTATCAAGGAGCATTTTGAGGTACTGATGAATTATTAAAGTTCATGAATTTTAAAAGTCAAATTTCTCTGTATAGATTTTTATTTTTATTATCTATTGTTATATTTCAAACTACCTGTGATAACAGTGGAGTAGAGCCATGACAGTTTGTTCTTTTTTTTTTTCTGAGATGGAGTTTTGCTCTTATCTCCCAGGCTAAGTGCAATGGCACAATCTCGGCTCCCTGCATCCTCTGCCTCCTAGGGTTAAGCAATTCTCCTGCCTCAGCCTCCTGAGTAGCTGGGATTATAGGCGCCCGCCACCACTCCCGGCTAATTTTTGTATTTTTAGTAGAGACAGGGTTTTGCCCTTTAGGCCAAGCTGGTCTCAAACTCCTGACCTCAGGTGATTCACTCACCTTGGCCTCCCAAAGTGCCGGGATTATAGGCATGAGCCATTGTGCCTGGCCAACAGTTTGTTATTTATTACAATTCTGTGGATTAACTGAGTGCAGTGGTGCTTCTACATTGGTATAGCTGAGGTCATTTAGACAGCTTCATTCACCTGAGTCCGCAGCTGAGACTACAATGTTCAAGATGGCCTCTCACCTATGAGAGTTTGTCCTCACTTGCTTTTTATCACTCAGTGGTCTAGCTCACTTCATTATAGCATGGTAGTTAGCTTCCAAGAATGAGCATTCCATAGGCAAAGATCCAATGTGCAAACTTCTAGCAAGCCTCTGCTTGCATCATACTTGGTAATATCCTGTTAATTTAAACAAGTCACAAGGACAAGCTCAATTTCTGTGGGGGGGACCAGTGACACAAGTTTCTAAGTATGGAAAGCGAAGCGTGGTCTAGTATAACAGTCTTTAACACAATTGACACACTGCTCCTTGTAGTAATAATTCTGTTTAAGATTGATAGCTGTGTATGTATCATATGTATGTTTTATTAAAAATATTTTCCTGTAAAGTTAATTATAGTAAGCTGTTAGGTGCTAAGAATTCCATAGGAGTCTGTTTATTTCTTAACATGTATGAACGTCATTGTCTCAAAAAAAAAAAAAAAACTGCCACAAAAAACCCAGCATATTTTTCTTTAGAGATTACAGGAAGAAAAATAATGGGAACATGCATAGGGATACTGCAGAATGTGCTATTTAAATAGCTTTTCATAATTTTATGGTTTACTGTCAATTCCTAGTTAATATAACAACTAGTGAAAAAGAATGCCTGGGTGTCAAGAGACCTAGCTTTTCTTGTTGAAGCATGGATAGTAATAGATACATAATAACTGACATTTTATAATGTAACGATTTGCCTGTTCTACAGCTTAAAATTCTTGAAATCAGATTACAAAATATAATCACTGGAACCTTACATTGTAATTGGCAGTGATACTTTCTTTCTTAGTGGCACATAAACGAATGGTGTGTCATTTTTGATATTTTAGATTCAGGGTAATACAGTGATTTTCTCAGTGGCATAAAGATAAATCGTTTAATTTCTCTGTGCCTCAGGATGTAGAAATAATATGACATAACTTCCAAAGTGAATAATGAAAAACTGTAGAAAATATACAACTGTATACTTTTCATTTAAAAAAAAAACAGTGAACACTATAGGTTGTAAAAAAACAATGTTTTATATAAGCTTTCAAATGCACAGTTTAAATATATTTTAAATGGCAGTATTTAGTATTTATGTATTAAAAAGATTATACTACTTCTATTTTGAATTCCATTATATATCTAAAGTGGTAAGGAATTACTATCTTTGGATTATTTTTGAAAGACCAACTACAGGAAGGATTATAAAAGAGTTTGCTGGAAAGTACCCCCTTTCAACCCGTCCCATAAGAAAACTAAACCTCTGGCCCAGCTGCCCCACTTTGTTGAACATATTAGATCTACCCTGTTTTTTTTAAAAAAAAAATACCCATCTCCAACTAAGACACTGTTTCCTGGAAATAAAGCCCTACTCTACAAAAAAGATGAAGATGGCTTATGGGAAAAGATCTCTTCTCCAGGAAACTAAAAAACAGGAATTACCAAAGAAAACACCTTCTTGGCCTGACAGAGACCATTGGTGGGGCTGGCAAGAATCTGAATTTGGAATCTACATCCATTGGGTCTTAGCTTCTCCTTCCTTCCTCTGTGTCTTTCAAATGACTTTCAAAATAAAACCTTATTTTGGCAAAGGCAAAAAAAAAAAAAGAAAATTAAACCCTAAGGCCCCAAGGCATCCATTGTGATTAATTAAATTCCTTCCTATGCATCTAAAATGATATGTTATCACTCTTAGGAAAATGGAAAAAATAGTTACTTATATAATTTTTTGTAGGGCTTAATTTTTACTGGAACTCCAACTGGGAAAGGTTGCTTAAAATTGCATATAAACACGTTAAAATACTTGTTTAATTTTTACCACAACCATATGAGTTGAGTAAGTGTATGACTTTTCTGTAAAAGAGAGAAAACTTAGTTGTGGCAAAAATATAGATTTTACAACCCATTCAAGGTCACTGAGCTGTGACTTCAATCCTGGCAGTCTGGCTTCAGAGACCATGCTCTTATAACCATTGTAAACTTTTGAAAATGTATACCTCACACATCACTAAACTGAAAGCGAAAATGTGGGTTTATAGAAAAGCATAAACTAGAAATCTTAATTTTTTTAAAAAAGAGTCTTTGAATATGATCAACATTAATCTATAAGATTTCTTTAGTGGTTTTCAATGAAATAATGGATAAAAGGAGGAACAGTTTCTTTATTCTTAGTTTATGCTTTACACTAATTCACATAGTAAGTAGAAATTAGGGAGATTCTTTCAATATATTTTACATTGTACATAATTATTCTATTAATATTCTTTTTTTCTTTTTTGAGATGGATTTTTGCTCTTGTTACCCAGGCTGGAGTGCAATGGCGCGATCTTGGCTCACTGCAACCTCTGCCTCCCGGGTTCAAGCGATTCTCCTGCCTCAGCCTTCTGAGTAGCTGGGATTACAGGCATGTGCCACCATGCCTGGCTAATTTTGTATTTTTAGTAGAGATGGGGTTTCTCCATGTTGGTCAGGCTGGTCTCCAACTCCCGACCTCAGGTGATCCGCCTGCCTCGGCCTCCCAAAATGCTGGGATTACAGGCATGAGCCACTGTGCACGGCCTTCTATTAGTATTCTATCAAGTGTTTGTTTTTTTTTCTTTTCCTTTGGTAAGTATAGATGAGGAAGTTGAACAAAATCTACGTAAAGAAGACTTTCTAAAAATTGAGTGAAAAGATTTCCAAAAAAGAAGAGACTTTTTAAAATTAGTTTTTTTCTGAAAACTAAAATGCACGTTTAGTTCTTCTTTAGGAAAGAATGACTTTTATTCCGTATTCATCTACAGTTTGCCAAGAAAGTACTTTCTTATTCATTTTTCTTTCAATCGGGAAGATACATTAAGAACTACAGATTAATTTGCAAAATTCATGTATTTCATGTTTCTTCTCATCTTGACACTTACTTTAAATGTCTGAACCTTATGAAATAGTAACCTTAATACAAGTCATTGATAGTGTATTGAAATGAATTTAATCACACAATCAGGAGGAAGAAAGTTGGTATTAATTAGAAAAATTGAAACACAGGATTGCAATTTTTTTAAAATCATGGCTTTTTCAGCAAACACTAAAGCACTTATTGGTGTTTAGAAAACAAATACAATTATTTGTTTTTCTCATTTCTTGTTAGAAAGCAATTGAACTGAACCCTAAAGATGCTACTTCAATTCACCTTATGGGTATTTGGTAAGAAAATTTCTTTAAATTAATATTTCAGTAGTAGTTAGTGTGATATTATTTTGTAGAATATATAAATATCTTCTTTTGAATATATAAAAAGATATTAAATATTTTAACATATTAGCTGACAGAATTTAGAGTGTCAAATCCATTAACTAGCACTGTAAATGTATTGCTAGAATACACTAAATTTGACTGTGACCATGTTAAACATTGTTATTCAAGTCATTTAGAAACATGTACAGACTGAAAGGACTATTCTTACTTACCATGCTAAATAAAATTAGATAAGTGTAACTGTAGTAATAGTAGAATGCCCCAAGAGGGTCTTTGTATCTTCAAAGTATGTCAGTCTTGATTAACCTGAGGAACCATATAATCTGATTTTCAGTGTCTCTCTATTTTTATGTGATTTTATGTTTACTGTAGATTATTATTTTGCTGGTATGAGGGTTTATCAAAGTGTTATGTACTTGATGGTTTAAGAGTCTATTTTGAGATAGGCCACTGTTTTGAGTATAGTCTGCAAAGCTAAATATTTACCGCCATCTAAGAAAGGTACCAGTGTAAACTGTCCTGTATCAAACTCTTAAAAAAGAGAAATACATATATTCTTCAGGTAAAGGACATATTAAACTTAACACTCACTCACTGAGAATCAGTGATAATTGAGGGGCAGCCACTAAGTCAGATGCTAGTAAGCAAACCTAAATGAAATAGCAATTTCTGCTTTAAGGACTTTAGACCCTAGTAAAAGATCTAACACTTTTTTTCCTACTTATTTCTAAAAGTTGTAAAGATCTTTGGAGGTTAGTCATTTGCCTTGCCCCTTTAAAAATGGACTTAAGTTGGTTGCTGTTACTTATAAATTTGATGTTTAGTTTTGTTATTTTTCTTGGGTAAGGTTTTTTAACTTCTCAGAGTTTTTCTTATATAAAAAATAGGGTAAATGATCCTATATTATATATAATTGTTAAAAGGAGTAAGTGACAGAATAATCAGCCCAGTACCTGGCACACTGCACTCAGTGGTAGATGTATATTATATTACTGTTATTAGTATGGCTGCTTATTATTTACATTAATCACAAAATACATCCCCAGCTAATGGATAAGTATGTCAGTCTCTGGATTACCTAGTAGCTATCATGTAAAGTACAAGTTGTTTAAACATACAGTAGAAGATTCCTTTTATAATATTAAGATGCTTACCTTTAAGAGAAAAGAATGTACAATTTGAATCTATAAAATTGTTTTATTTCTCTGTAGGTGCTATACATTTGCTGAAATGCCTTGGTATCAAAGAAGAATTGCTAAAATGCTGTTTGCATCTCCTCCTAGTTCCACCTATGAGGAGGTAGTATGATGTCCTTTGTTAAGTCAGTACCAATTTCTTAACCACAGTGCCATTCTACAGTGTTCACACATGTGGAGCTCTGATTCAGTGAGGGACTTGAGCAGTTTCTAATGATCCAATTCAACTATGTTATCACAAGGCTAAAAACTTATTATCCATGACTGGTGAGTGGTTTTCTTTTTACCCCTTTTAGGTGAGTGGCTGGTAATTCTGGAATACTGTCATCTAAAATGGCTCATGGCTAAAATCTACCTTTTCTGTTTGAAATCTAAACCATATTGAAGTCATAAAATAGAACAAGAAATACAGCAACTGTTACCTAGCATGTTTTAGGTATATTATGCATACTAACAGTCAGTTAGAAAAAGCGCATGTTAAATTAGCTGGGCGTGGCAGCATGCACCTGTAGTCCCAGCTACTCAGGAGGCTGAGGCAGGAGAATTGCTTGAACCCGGGAGGTGGAGGCTGCAGTGAGCAGAGATCACGCCACTGCACTCCAGCCTGGCACCTGGCAATGGAGCAATACTCTGTCTCAAAAAAAAAGAAAAAAAGCGCATGCTTGAGTTGATAAAAGAACACTCATTATAACTTATATTTTAAAAAGCATATGAAAGGTTCATATTCTTTCATATTTTCAAGGCCTTTTGCTTTTCCTGTTAAAAATAAAATTTTAGAGTGATTTCTGGTTAAACTTTGGGTTTACTCATCATAAGCTTTTCAGAGTAAGAAAACAGGCAATCAAAAAGCTGTACTTGTATTAGTTACATTATAACAGGGAGCTTTTTTTTTCTTTCTGGAGGCTATAGCGTAGAAATTGATGTAAAGAATACTAAGTTGTATTCTTTACACACAGTTGAGAAATACTATTATTGATATAATTATTTTTTTTGAGACAGAGTCTCACTCTGTCACCCAGGCTGGAGTGCAGTGGCACAGTTGCCGCTCACTGCAACCTCCGCCTCCCAGGTTCAAGCGATTCTTTTGCCTCAGCCTCCTGAGTAGCTAGGATTACAGGCACGTGCCACCACGCCCAGCTAATTTTTGTATTTTTAGTAGAGACGAGGTTTCAACGCCTTGGCCAGGCTGGTCTCGAACTCCTGACCTTGTGATCCACCCGCCTCGGCCTCCCAAAGTGCTGGGATTACAGGCATGAGCCACCGCGCCCAGCCGAAATATTATTAAAATAATGCATTTGCCGGGTACAGTAGCTCATGCCTGTAATCCCAGTACTTTGGGAGGCCAAGGCAGGTAGATCAGTTGAGCCCAGGGGTTTAAGACCAGCCTGGGCAACACTGCAAAAACTCTACCAAAAAATACAAAAATTAGCTGGGTGTGGTGACCTGCGCCTGTACTCCCAGCTACTCAGCTGGGCTGAAGGCTGCGGTAAGCAGTGATTGCACCACAGCATTCCATCCTAGACAACAGAGTGAGACCCTGTCTTTAAAAAAAAAATCATTCATTCTAAGGACAAAAAATATAGTCAGCTTTACTGTGTCAAATTAGTTGTTTCCTAGAAATCACATCATTAGAGCTTGCATTACAAAAACAGTAGCTTAAGTAGGACAAAAAGAATTAGAGAGTTTCAGACTCAAAATTAACATTATATGTAGGAATTTCAATAATAATGGACTCTTTAAAATTCACTAGTATAACATGAATAAATTCAGCTTTTGATTACATTTAGCTTTTACTAAAAGTCACTCGTTATAATTTAAGAGAACTGTCAAAATGGCTGAGTTACATGTGATAATGTTCTTTCCTTTCTGCACTTGATGTTACTTTGGTACAAGTTCTTTTTTTTAATTTATTTATTTTATTTATTTATTTTTAGATGGGGTTTCACCATGATGACCAGGCTGGTCTTGAACTCCTGACCTCAGGTGATCCACCCACCTCAGCCTCCTAAAGTGCTAGGATTACAGGCGTGAGCCACCGTGCGCGGCTATGGTACAAGTTCTAAGCAGCAACGAAACTGAAGTGGTCCATATATTGTTACCTTAATGATGATTTAAGTGTTACATTCAGTTTGGGTGTTAGCTCTCACTGTTGAAGAACTGACCATTATTTTAAGATGATTTACTTCCTGACTTAAATTTAATATAGGAATAGATCTTTGAGACAATGCTTTTTAAATATCATCTGTTTTAATCTTTTTCATTATGTTTGGGCTCTATTTGTGTTTTTGACAGGCCTTAGTCTACTTTCACAGGGCAGAACAAGGTAAGGTATTTTTCGTTACACATATTAATATAGTTAAAATTGTACTAATGCTGAATATATACTATAATAACAATTTCTAAAGGAAAGATGTTTATTCTTTTATACTTTCTTTTTGGTGCCAGATATTATAAAACAATTTTTACAGTCTTTATTCAGTAAACATATACTGAATGAGAAATAGGCTGCTACTGAACTGTAGTTTAGAGCTGCAGTTCTGGAATGTCCTTCATTTGAAGGCTGAATGTCCTAATTCAGTCTTCCTTTGTGAGAGGAGTCTCTGACATGGTAATTGTCTTATTCAAGACTGAGTCTCTGACATGGTGATTATCATATTCAAGACTGTACATATTGGCCAGATGTGGTGGCTCACACCTGTAATCCCAGCACTTTGGGAGGCTAAGGCAGGAGAATCACTTATGTCCAGGAGTTTGAGACCAGCCTGGACAACATAGCAAGACCTCATCTCTGCCAAAAAGTAAAAATTAGCCAGGTGTGGTAGCACACACCTGTAGTCCCAGCTATTCAAATGGCTGAGGCAGGAAGATCACTTGAGACTAGGAGTTCTAGGCTACAGTGAGCTTTGATTGTGCCACTGCACTATAGCCTGGGCCACAGAGTGATACCTGTCTGAAAAACAGAAAAGATTATGCATCTCATTAGAGGCATTTAGTAGGAATTCTGCTATTTAGCCAGGCTAGTTCTATTGCAGATACTGTGAAAAAGAGTTTCAGGTTATGCTTGTTTTGAAAAAATGACTAGTCCTATAAAACTGTCACCAGCCCATCCTAAATTTATCCTTTTTAATATTCATACACTAAGGCGGGGGGATAAGAGACAAAAGTATATGTTACCAAATAGACCATAAAAACCATTTAAATATATTCTGTAAAACGTAGAAGAAAATTAAGAAGATATCATGTTTATCAAATTTGAGATCCTACACATAATGGACTTGTTCAGATGCTTTTATGATACCAGTTTTTTTTAAAAACATATCCTCTACAGAATTTTATCAGTGTTACATATCTCTGTAATTTATCAATTATGATTTATTCATTACCTTCTATTGATACCCTCTTATAATCATACTGTTTCACATATCATGAATATGAATCTAGGAATGACCTTTTTATTTTTAAAAGGGACTTAAAAGTTAATTACAAAGTAAAAATAAAGGACCTTAGAGACTTAAGGATTCGGGGTGTTGAGAAAAACATGGTCCTGCCCTCATGGAGCTAAAATAATCCTTGGTAACTTCAGTCATTCTTCAGTGATCTGACCTTATTTCTTTCTGTTCCATATTTAGTTCAGAAACACCTCCTATGACCTTAGTATCTTTTATTTTTCCAATGAGACTTAACACTCAATACTATGAAAATTTACATGTCTAAGACTGTAAATTCAGAGAAGATGGGGACTTTGTCTTTTAGGCTCACAATTGCACCCTCATTACTTGGCACAATGCTTGGCCAATTTGTTGAATGACTTGAGTAAACAGATGAATGATTGGATGAATGAATATATGAATATATTTAACCCCAGGACAACCTAAGTATATCAACATAGCATCACACAAATCTGCTCAAATAAAAGAAGTAAAACAATTTTAGGTAAGGAACAAATGGAGTTAATTATTAATTGTATACAGGAAAACGTATTCCTTGAATACAGAGGATCTCAGATTGTTAGGAGGAAACTGTGTGAAGCATTAAGTGGGTGAGATAGTTCCATGCTTCATTCATGGTCTCCATTGTTTTTTTTTGTTTTTTTTTTTGAGAGGGAGTTTCGCTTTTGTTACCCAGGCTGGAGTGCAATGGCGCAATCTCGGCTCACTGCAACCTCCGCCTCCTGGGTTCAGGCAATTCTCCTGTCTCAGCCTCCTGAGTAGCTGGGATTACAGGCACGCACCACCATACCCAGCTAATTTTTTGTATTTTTAGTAGAGACGGGGTTTCACCATGTTGACCAGGATGGTCTTGATCTCTTGACCTCGTGATCCACCTGCCTCGGCCTCCCAAAGTGCTGGGATTACAGGCTTGAGCCACTGCGCCCGGCCTGTTTTTTTTTTTGTTTTTTTTGTTTTTTTTCAGCACTTCAAAGTTTGTATATCTAGTAAAGCATTCCTATATTACATTTAGTTGTGTTCTTGTTTCTCCTTTTCATTATAAAGTTGAAAACAGCGGAGGTTTTGTTTCATTCTCTATGCTTAAGTATAGCTGACATCCAGTAAATGTTGATCGAATGTGTATATATCATCATCATGATTTCATTCCCTTATTTAGCAGATATATATTGAATGTATGTTATGTTTCACACACTGTTGTAGGCACTTGGGGTACAGTAGGGAACTAAAGAGATCAAAAAGAATATCACTATCCTCAAATAGCATACATTCTATCAGGAGCTTCAGCTTCTCATCTATAAAATGGAGATATCCACATATAAAATTGTGAAAATGAGAAATGTGTATAATACAGTGCCTGGCACATTTGTAGATATTCATTAAATGGTAATTATTATTTTATAAATATATTTGTTTGAGATATAAACAGTTGAACAAAAGAGAATTCCCATTAGTCTCATCACTTATTGACCACACAAATTTATTGAAATTTAGACCCCAGAATCAAACCTTTAAAAATAAAAGCAATACTCTTTCATCTGAGATAATTTTTTCTTTCCTATGTGCAGTGGACCCAAACTTCTACAGCAAAAACTTACTTCTGTTAGGAAAGACATACTTGAAACTACACAACAAAAAGCTTGCTGCTCTGTGGCTAACGAAAGCCAGGGACTATCCAGCACACACAGAAGAGGATAAACAGGTAAAACATCTCCCGTAAAGTAAGGCAGAAAGGTTTTGAGGCACTATTAAATGGTGAATTAAGAACTTCTTTAAAAGTGTAATTTAATTGTCTAAATGCATAATATTGCTGAAAACAAGTGTGTTCATTTCAAGTGTAAGTTCGTTGGCATTTATATTTCTACACAGGAAATGTTTAGTTACTATAATCAAGCAGATGTTATGGGTTGCCTGCTATAATACAGAATTATTCCTATTTGACACACATGGCAGATTAAGATTTCTAAAACATGAAAGTGTGTACCAAACTATAAGAGCTGAGTCTCATCTGGTCACTGTTAAGAAGTTTTATTGTTACAATGTCCTATCCGGTTTTTGGAAACTCTTAGAAACTTAAATTTATAACATGTATTTTTCCATTTTAGATACAGACAGAAGCTGCTCAGTTGCTTACAAGTGTCAGTGACAAGAATTGAGAACTTTTCAGAGAAGATGTATGAAATAGCTAATAAACGCTGCCTTTTCGTTGAATTATAAAGTTCACATATGAAGCATAACTGTTCTGTGGCTTTTGAAATGTTGTGACCATTTAACAGTGTAAATATAAAAAATTCTAGGTTTCTTCACAAATAATAAGGTAAGAGAAATAATTGCTGTAAGAGTGGTAGAAATAAATCTCCATGGCTCAGGCAGAGAGACTATTTTGCATCTTGGATACCAGCAATGTAAAATAGTATGAGATTTCTAAGGATTGATCACATTGGGATGGGAGATCAAGCAAAGAAAGCTTTGTAGAGGAGGGGAAATGGATCTATAGGGGATATACAGGGGGATGGATTTTCAAGTTGGACTGATTCTAAGTTGAGATCTTGCAGAGAAGTTGTGGTGAAAAAGTTAGGATGTTGTGGGTTCTTGGCATAAAGTAGTAAAATGATTAAAAATATATGTAATTGGAGCTAACCTGTACAAAGAAAGAACTAAGTCAGGAGAGGACTGAAAATGGAGTGGTTTTCTTTTTTCTTTTTATTTTTTTAAGACAGAGTCTCACTCTATCACCCAGGCTGGAGTTCAGTGGTGCAGTCTCGGTCCACTGCAGCCTCTGCCTCATAGGTTCAAGTGATTCTCCTGCCTTAGCCTCCTGAGTGGCTAGGATTATAGGGTTGCCCCACCAGACCTGGTTAACTTTTGTATTTTTGGCACAGATGGGGTTTTGCCATGTTGGCCAGGCTGGTCTCGAAATCCTGGCCTCAAGTGACCCACCTACCTTGGCCTCCCAAAGTGCTGGGATTATAGGCATGAGCCACAGTGCCCAGCCAGTTTCCTTTTTTAAATATGGTGTAGTCTCATGGTAGATTGAATTTGTAATCAAAGTCAAAGTTCCATTCCCTAATGGAATGGAAGGAAGACAAAACTTAAGAGTGAAATGGAATACTAAGAAGGCAGGACTGTTCTACTCACTTGAGGCTGGAGTGGCACCACTGCAGATCTTTAAGTTTTATAATAAAAAGGAGTATCTTGAATGCCACTTAAAGAAAGAAAGACTGTGTGTGTATGTGGATTTTTCCCAAAGTATTTGGGAATTGTAATGTTACAATGAATTGTATGGGTATGTACCATTTATCATGTACATTTTAAAACAAAAAGGAAACCTGAGAATAGTGATTTTTGTACACCCATCTCTTAGATTCAACAGTTTTGCTGTACAGGTTGTGTATCCCTTATCTGAAATGCTTGGAGTAGAAGCATTTTGGATTTGGGATTTTTTTCAAATTTTGGATTATCTGCATACACACAATAAGATAATCTTAGAAGTGGTGGGACCCAAGTTTAAACAGAAAATTCACTTGTTTCATATACACCTTATGCACATAGCCTGAAGGTAACCTTAGACAATATTATTTTTAATAACTTTGTGCATTGAGAAAAAGTTTGTATACATTGAACCATCAGAAAGCAAAGTTGTTGTTACCTCAGCCACCCACGTGGGCAATTTGTGGTTGTTTGATGTCACCATCATTCCTGTGCTACCAATAAGCAGTCATTTTCTTATGCTTATTCACACATAAATACTTGACAGTAAAAAAATATGACATAACTTGCATGGGAATAAGGATATCCGGTTAAAAAAAATATGACATAGCATTGATACAGTGAAAAAATAATGTGGTCAGGGTAGCTAAGCAACAGTAGCATCACCAGAAACTTGCATCAACTGTTAAACGGCAACAACAATGGCAGGCTCTCAGTCTCCACTTAAGATGCTATATTTTATCTTTGTAGGTGAGGAGAAACAGAAGCAGTTGAAGGGTCAGGAAGTGGGTCTTTCTAGGGATGTGGTGGCATTCTGCTGGGTGGCTTTTTAAAATGGGTTTTTTTTTCTTTAGGGAGACCGAATAAACTGTTGTTGTGCACCTGTTTTGACTGACCTGTTACATCAGGCCAGATGTGGAATTTTCTACTTGTAGCTTCATTCTGGCACTCAGAAAGTTTTGGATTATGGAGCATGAATTTCAGATTTTTGGATTCAGGGATGTTCAACCTGTATTTATATATACATGTGTGTGTCTGTGTGTGTACAGACACATACATTACTAAACCTTTTGAAATTAATTGCAAGCATCATAATAGTTCACCCCTAAATGTTTCAGCACGCATTTTCTCAGAATAAAGATATCTTCCTAAATAAAAAGCATTATCATAACTAGAAAAGTTAACAATAATCTAACATCATGTAATATCTACCCATATTCAAATTTTCTCAAATGTCCCAAAATGTCTCATGCTTTTTAAAATCAGGATCCAGAGATTATACATTACATTTGATATGTTGCTAATCTTTCAATCTAAAACAGTTCCCCATCTTTTTCTTCTTGGAACATTGACTTTTTGAAGAGGCCAGTCCAGTTGTCATAGATTCTCTCTCATTCCAGATTGGCCTAATTGACCATACTTTGAGAACTGCTGTTCCATCTTATTTCCAGGACTCAAATTAGTTCTATTAGATCTTTGCCTGACTTTCATATTTATCACTTAGCAATTTTTCTTTTAGACTTTTTGTTTCATTTTCTTGGCTCTTTTCATCTATATTTTCCATGTCCCGTATTTTACCTTTGGTTGAGTCTATTCTTTCTTAAATACTTTGATTGCCTTCACTTCTGAGATCTGTTTATCTCCTTTTCCAAATTTTTTTCCTGATTTTACCCAGTCATTCACATCTGCATTTTGTTTGTCCAGTTCTGAGTTTTTAAGTTGCTATTTTGGATTTTTTTCATATCTATTTATTTAATTCACATATTGTGTTAAAGTTTACTCTCTTCTTTCTCATTTTCAGTTTTCTCTTTAGAGTGACTTTATTTTTTTTTTCCTAGGAATGTAATTTTATGTTGAGTTACCAGCAATACTAGGTCATCAAATGGGAAGGGGGAAAGGATCTGGGTTAGTTCAAGAATACTTTTTGCTAAGTTTTTATTTTTGTGAGATATCAGTAATAAAGCTTTTTATGGAGGTGAAGTTTTACCTCCTGATTCCTTAAGAGAACTTTAAAAAATATTTTTACTTTCAAATAATTATAGATTCACAAATTGGAAAAAAAAATCAGAGGTCCTGTGTACCTTTCTGTCAGCCTGTCCCAGTGCTAAGATTTCATATAACCGTAGTACAATAGCAAAACCTGGAAACTGACATTGATACAGGCCACAGACCTTATTTAGATTTTACCACTTTTAAATGCTCTTGTGTGTATAATTGTATGCAATTCTATCACATGTAGATTTTTGGTAACTTGCCACCATAATCAAGATACAGACCTGCTCCATCGTTGCAAAGATCCCTGGTGCTCTTCCTTTATAGTCACACCCATCCACCTCCCTCCCCCACCATCCCTAACTTAAACACTAATCTCTTCTCCATAATTTTGTTATTTCAACAATTTTATACAAATGGAATCAATCGTACAGTGAGACCCTGTGACATTCTTTTTTCACTCAGCATAATCCCTTGAGACCTAAATTCCATCAATAGTTTGTTCCTTTTTAGAGTTGACTAGTATTTCATTGTATGGGCATACCATATCATCCATACATGGAGGGGCATTTAGGTTATTCCTGATAACTGGTTATTACAAATAAAGCTGCTATAGGCATTATATGCAGGTTTTTATGTCTACTTATCTCTCTGGAATACATGCCCAGGAGTGTGGCTACTGGGTCCTTTTATCTTCATTTTTTTCCCCTTTACTCTCTGAGGGTAGGTTTCTTCTGCAAGGCATGGTGCCTTCCCAAGATTCTGATTCTGTGCACTAAGTCTCTTCCGTTTGACTTCCCAGGAGCCTGATTCCCCACATGTCACATTGGTTCTTGACATTTTCCCTCTAAGGGTGAGACTCACTACTGAGAATGAACCCCAGGAATCCCTTACGTTCTCCTTCCTGTACAGTCCCCACCTGATTCTGTTCTTGTGTGCATTCCAGAGCTGACTGCTGGCTTGAGATGCTTATTTTCTCACATACATGTTTATAGAAGTTGGTAATACTGTCTTCTAAGATATTACATAAGTAGGCGATATCTCTCCCTTATAGAGGTTTCCTTCCTTTCTTTTGAGCATGTGAAAAGAACGCTGAATTTGGAAAATGGCCATGATCCTATAAGAACCTAAAAGCTCTCAATTTCTTGATGGCAAAGTTAACTGAGTTAACTAGGGGCTGTGTACTAGCTGTGGATGTTGTAAAAATGACTTCTCTCATAAACTTTGCTCATCTATAAAATAAGCATCATTAAAGAAACAAAAAACCCACCAATTTCACAGAGTTGTAAGGAATAAGAGAATAATTTACGTAAAGGATTTACCATGAGATAATTGCTATTATCTCTGATTTTGTTCTTGGTTGAAAACTGAGGAGATAAATTTTGCAATTTAAGAGATGTCACTTTTGGACTTAGATCAAATCCCCAGTTTACCTAAAGTTTGGCTTTTAAGGTCAACTAATTAAGTGTTACAGGAGAACTGTTGTGTTATTTCAAAAAAAGAAGATATTACTTCTGCAACATCCACCAAGTTTTTTTAGGTTCAACCAAACAAACATTCAGACTTAACAAGCCTACAGTAGGCTATATTTGGCACCACTTTACTCAGAAGGCTATAGGACAGGAACCACAGCTCGCCAGCAGGGCAATTTTAAACCTCCTTTCAGAAGACGGTTTCCTAATAGCAGTCTATGCTAGGGTATCTCCTAGGAGATGACAGTCTCCTAGGACTATCATCTCCCCAGGTAACAGCTCAGGGTACTCTTTAAAGGACACCCAGTATAGGAGTTTTCCACTCAGGTATGCCCAAAGCTATGGCTTTCTATCATGTATCTGGAGATTTCCCAGTCCAGATGTAACTTACCAGTCAGGGGCCATGTTTCCCAGAAGCAAAGTTGCCTGGCAATACAGTTGACACATACCATCCTCCTATTTAGTTTTCGGGGTAGGAAGAGCTAGATAGTTAACAGAAGTCATCAGGGGAAAAAGGTTTTGTTAACCTGTACATTTTCAACTACTTGGGAAGTACAGGCGGGAAAAAACCCCAAAACACGGGTAAGCTACTTTCCCTGGAAAAAAACAAACAACTAAACTGATCTAATAGAATGGTGTTGGGCCTGTGATCCACTCCCTGGGCCATTTACTGGTGGTGGGGGCGGGGGAGCCACCAAAATGAAGTAGCAACATAAACCTGTCTCTGAGCCTCCTTCTCTTGTCTGTTTCCTCATGAACTGTGTTTTGGGCACAGAGAATCTTCTTGCACTTTTAATTTCTTTCTGGTTGATCCAGCACAGAACAGTAATGGGAAGGGAGAAGAGAGAGAAGGTGAGCGGGGACCATTATTTCATTAGTTTTTCTGACTGCTACTAGGTAGATAAATCAAGACAGCTCTGCCTGGAGGTCTTGGATATCTATAATTGGGTGTGAAAACTGGATGACCCTGATGAATTCTCCAAAATAAAGCTGGTTTGGTCTCTTGTAAAGCTCTGTGTAGCCTCACCTGGTGAATCTTAATTTCTTGAGGAGAGAGACCAGTACCCTGAAAACCAACTGGAAGGCCACCTTCTTAAGTCAAATCTGCTAAATCATACCTGTGAATGATAGTCAAAAACTTCTGTCATAGCAAAATTTATATAGCGGTGGTACCATTTGTAATTCTAGTACTTAATTTTTTTATGGTATAATTAAGGCAGTCCTTTTTCAAGAGCAGTTAACTCTCTATCACGTAAGCTGTCTTATACATTAGAATTTTTTTAATTCTTTAGGCTTGAAAATAACCAGTGTCTACAATTAGGATTTGGAAAAGGAGTCTATTCACCAAGCAGATTACTGCCTTTCTTTCACCTTTACTATGAATTCTGAATAAAATACAGAACACACTCTCAATTAATATGTAGAAAAATAAAATTTTGGCAAAACAACACTGTTTATGGAAGTTAAAATGTATACTGGTTTTTTTTCTGTATGTACTTAGCAGTGATATATTTATAGGCAACACATTCTAAGAAGTCAGTTCCATGGCTATAAAAAATGTTTAAGTTAATGAAATTTACAGTGCATATTAAAAGCATGATACAAATGGAAATTTAAAATTTTGTATTAGGAAGCCCAGTTTGCTAAAAATGGCACTAATATCATTAACATCAGATTTTAATTTGTTACACATTTTTCTAATTCAGCAGAGGCCTTATGATGAAAAACAATGAAAAAGTGTTACTTAGGACAAAAATAATTATCTATATCAAAAGGGGGAGACCCAAAAGATTTTTATGTGCTTATTTAATTCAGATAAGAGCTGTTATGAATTTGAGAGAAATGAAGATATTCAAACACTAACAGAAAATCATTAGCCTCATATTTGTTAGAGCATTCAAATGTTTATGTAACTCTTCAATCCATCTGGCTTTATAAAATCAAAACTTTGAACACAAAAAACGTGGCAGAGTTCACATTACTTTTTATATGTTCCTAAGTATGAAATTGCATCAATTTATTATGAATTAAATTTTGAAGAACACAGATTTTAAAACGAAGTACAAAAGTGCCTGATTCTTTTTAATTCCACAAATACCTAGCATCCCAAAATAACACGTAAACAGACTTCTATGCTGCTCAATGAATCCTTCCAATTTCGATAATAAACTAAATAGTATCAGATCTAGTATATGAGTTTCATGTGTAAGTTACGGTTTTATCCATTGCTTTGACAATATTACTGATGTAATAGGGAAAAATTTTTCAACTATTTATTTAAAACAATCTGACAGGTTCAAGCACCTATCTTCAGAAAAGCCAGCAGCATTTTTTTTTAAAACATATTCAAAGTAAGATTTGGCCTAAGCCCTTAATACCTTCCTGAATAGCCATGCAACTAAACACCCTTGGGAGATGTTACATAAGGGAAAGAAGAACATGGAGCAATTTGCACTTTTTCCCCTAGATAATGTTAACAAGATAAAGCAAATCCAGATCTTTATGAATGAACGGCTGTCATGTTTAATACACTTGGAGCTCTATAAAACTAGAGCCACTATCATATATGCTTATATAGATATATACGTATTTTTAATAAAGTCTCTCACTTGCTTGAAAATTTAAGGATGATCTTTTTCCTGGTCAGTCATTTCAAGGGAACAATAAATAAAGTAGAAAAGGATGAACTGTTTTGCATATTTCTGTGGAAAAACGGAAAACATACTTTTGAGAGGTTTGAAAAATTCACTGTACAGAATAAACAGCTTATATACACTATCTGTGCAATTTTTCTTGGCTGGGGTATTTAAATGCAAGAGCTCCTCCAAAATAAGAAGCCACATTCATTCTTGTCCAAATCCTTCTGTCTCTTCTATTGCAAAGAGAAGTTTTTCCTTTAGTTGTTCATAACTCTTATATGGTGGTAGGTCCAAGCGATTAAAACTGAACAGAAACAAAAACAAAATCAGATATTTTCAATAAATTGAAAAAAATTCTAAAAGAATATTTTTCAAAGCACACAGAAAAAGCTGAATGGATATGTTAATACATATTATATATGTAAAAATTTTGCTGGAAGTATTCTAACAGACAATTTACTACTATATTACTTAATTGGTATATTAACATTTCTTAAGTTTCTTAAAGCAATCCAAATTTAAGACTTACATATAAAAACTATTTTAACATCTCCCAGAGAAAAATGGAATTACAAATATTAAGTATAGCAATATGGATAAAGACTGGAATTTTTTTAATAAAGCATTAATTTTCTCTTTACTGTTCCTGTTACATGTGTCACGAGTCCTCCTAACTTCTCTTAGGATAAGAGTCCATTTCATTCATCCACTCACTCATTCATCATTCATTTACCTAGAATCTTTATATAACAGATACTGTTCTAAAAACTAGTGATACAATAAAGAAAGCTAAGATCCCTGTCTTCGTAGTATTTACATTCTGGGGTGGAGACAGTCAGTGAACAAATACATACGTTTGTCTTTTCAAATAATCTAACCACATATAAAATGCTTCTAAAATGATACATTTTCCAGTCTTGCCTGACTCAAATAATTCCATTCTGGGATTAACTGATGAAAAATTTTAAAATACTGAAAAATGCTTAAAATAACAGTGTATTTTTCAGTTTAGAAAGGTAGAATAACATTTCATTTTGAGAGGTATAGCAGTGAGTAGCTAGATGAGGATCTGGGTGTTCAGGGTTTTGGTCCCCACAGTAGCAGTGACTAATGAGGTATCTCTGAGTAAGAACCCTTCTGTACCCTCATTTTCTCATGTGGAAGAGTTTTAGAGATTACCCAGGTATCCTCTTGCCACTCCCACCACTTTCCATGTGCCCTTGACCCTCCCCTGTCAGTCAGGAAACCTGAAAATTAAGAGCCTTTGAAACAAGGCAGCTAATTAGAACAGAGTTGTTCTAAGACTGTATTATTGTCTGTATTTTAAAAGAAGTTAAAGATACTAATAGCAGCAATTAAGTAGACCATATGTTGCTCTCCCCTTTATACTTCAAGGTAGAATATGATAGCAAGGTCAGAAAAAAATATTTTTTAAATACTTCCTATACAGGACAACCAATCACTTTCTGTTCTCTTACATCTTTCATATATAGCCTTTGCCAAATTCTGTCAT